TGCCCAAGTATTTCCATGATGGGAGCCACAGGTAGTGACAAAAAATGCAGGGTGACAACACTTGGTATAAACAAATAATTTCTAAATTTTATAACTTTATGGAGATAGCCAGAGTGATCCCCTCCCCAGGTTTGCTAGACTCCCACTCCCATAAGCCCCAGCCAGCATGGTCAATTGGCAGGAAAGGGAGATGGAGGACACCACCTTGGCGACCCCAGTGTATGTAGTTAGAGAAATTAGAATTAGAGAAAATGGAGTACAGGCTGAGGGATCTGTATTATGCCTGCTTTCTACACCAAGCAAGCTTGTTTACGGTACAGTGGTACTGAGATAGGGATCAAAAAAGAGCCTTAAAATTCTCAAGATTTTTTGTAGACTTTTAAGTATGAGAGGGAGTCAGGGTGAAAAAGATACTTTGGGCTGCAACATTGCCTGTTGGATGAACAGAAGTCAAAGGTTCCATGTTTCTCTAAAGTTAGAGGAGAAATACCACTATAGATGGCATTTTAAAAGATGACCCAGTTGTGTAGTGGGAATATGCAAGACTGGGTACAAAAAAAATGATTTATGAATATGAATACTGGATATAGACTGTCATAAGATCTGTTCAATCTTTATCAGAAGCAGATCCCGTTCACGGAGTTATTCAAGATCTCGCAGCAAGTCTAGATCTGCAAGATCTTCCAAGTCAACAAGCAAGTCTCGTTCTCGAAGCCGTACCCCTGAAAAGAGGGGCTCTCGAAGCCGCACACCTGAAAGGAAGGGCTCAGAGAAAAACCACCACTCTGGCCCGCAAAATTCCTCTCCATCTCCTCCCCCAGCCAAGAAAAGGTCTCGCTCTAGGTCGAGCTCTGCTGAAAGCCGCAGTTAAGGTATTTTGAGAGGTGTATAAATATTTCATTTCTAAGTCAAATTTTCTACAAGCCTGAATAAGATGCAAATGGGGGTGGGGGGAGGGACAATTCATCAGGTGAGCATAGACCTCTGAAGAGAGTATGTAAACTTGCCCTCTTTATAGAGTTAGATAAATTGTAACCAATAATAAAAGCAATTTAAATCGGCAAATTATAATTACCCACATGTACTATGTACTTCTCTAGGTGAAGCCTTACTGACTCAAGCAGTACACATCTGGGAGTTTTGTCCTTATTGTTGAATATGATAAATTTAAGACATGGACTGTGGTGCCACTTTTCAGAGTCCTTTGGCTGTGCTTCTTGTTTGCACATAGAATATCTTCTAGTTTAACATTGAGTAAATCACCATGGATAGTTCAGCTGACTATGAACATGCTGTTTTGAAAAGTCCCATGCAACTTCCCAATATACAGTTATCCTTTAGTAGTGCACAGGTGGGTATCTGAATTGTGAAGGAATAATTTTTCCTTATTCTTAACGAGTATTTACATTGAAAGTAGCAAGCCAGGGAATGTGTTTTAATGTGTTATCTGGTTAAGCAGATGCTGCTGTGAAATTTTTAATGCTACTTTAGAGTAAGGTCTAGTCAAGAAGTACATCTTCCACACCAAATTTTATCTGGACAGGGTACAAAGTTTCATAACCCACTTCATGATATAAAAAATCAAAACATAACGGATACTTTAATGCAGCAACTTAGAGTATTTAACCTGGCAGTCTTGCAAAGGCATTGTTTTACAGAGATAACCTTTGTGAAATAAAAATACACCAGTTTTACTGAAGTTTTTATTTTAATATTACAAAGAGAGCGACCAGAGTGTGACACTTAAATACTGCAGGTACATGTAGTATCAGAAGCAGTAAATTGTCAAATTTAATAGGGGAAGGTTATTTTCAAACTGTCAAAACAAATTTCCAGTCAAGCTTCATGTAATGTGAATTTATTAATGCTAAAGTGTAAAGGGGCATTTTCCTTAGGTTTACAAAACATGATTTTGTTTTTGTTAGTAAGTAGTACTCTGTTAATCTTTAACAACTTTGTGATCACTAAACTATCTGGCTTCCACATACCTAAATGAGGGAATCTGCTTCAAATATTTGTAAACTGAACCCTAAAATGTTTAAATGTATTGGTGTGATACAGTAAATACAATAAATGTTTCTCCCCTGCTTACTGCAGCTTCAGCTGTCTTTCTGTGTTGCTCATTAAAGCTACGTTTGTAAACTTTTTTCTTTGTTAGCAACAGTTTTATTTTCAATAAAATTGATACATAATAAAATGTTACTTTGTTGGATCATTGTTCAGACTCATTACCAAACAGAGTTACTCCTCTCCAGTGTTTATTTCCATTATCTTGGATTAAATAATTTTGAAAGATTAGGGGGAGGTGTGTTTATCTGTGTAAGAAAAATACTTGCTTATAATAATTGAGTCCCAGCCTTAATACCCATAACACTCCAAGATTAACTTTTAAAAAAATGTTCTGTTTGTTATACACACTACAGGAAACACATTTTTTACCAGTATCTGTTTATGGCTATAGACTTCTGCATGTAACACATGAGCTAGTGAATGCATCGTGACATCTCTCTCTTACCTTTTAAAAGCACTTTGTGTGTGGGTTAACTGTTTTCATTGGTGTCATTTTCTTATTGGAAATTGATATGCACGCTGCTACTATTAACAGGAAAAAAGATGGGGGTACCTCTTTCTTTTCTCCACTGTACCTAAGATCAGCAAGGGGGATTGTTTAATTCCATTCCCAACCTGCAAAACTGAGTTGAAGTAGCTGCTCATAATGTCTGGTGCCTTCATTTTGAGGATTCAGTGGTGTTCCCAGTGGACTCCTAATTCAGAACAGTGATACAGTGGTGCCCCGCAAGACGAAATTAATTCGTTCCGCAAGTTTTGTCGTCTAGCGAATTTTTCGTCTTGCGAATCACGAAATCCCATAGGAATGCATTGAAAATCAATTAATGCGTTCCTATGGTCAAAAAAAGTCCAAACAAAGCCAAATTTGGTACAACAACAGTTTATTAACTGCTCTTTAAAGTCACACATACTGTAAAGAGCAGTTCAAAAATTGAAGGGAAAATAAATTAACTTTATAAACATGACAGAAAAACATTTAAAAATCAACAAAGTGTACAGTACATTTTCTAAGACTCTGGGGGACCACTCGAAGAAGGCTCCTCTTCCACTCTTTGCTTCTTGCTCAAGAACCTGTCCATAGTCTGCTGCTTCATCCGCCTTTTCAGCACCTCCCTGAAAGGCGACATGACCCTCGTATCAAAAAAGTTCCCAACGTCATGTGCCACGTGCTTCTCAGGGTGGTGCTGCTCTGCAAAAGTCTGCACCTCCTTCCACTTCAGGCAAATGTCCCTCAGTTTTTCGGAGGACAGCCGTTCCTCAGTTGCTTCCTCCTCTTCCAGTGAGGCCTGCTCCTGCGCAGCCTCTGCCTGCAGTTCGACCAGCTCCACAGTGGTCAGCTCGTCGTCGTGCTCCTCCACCAGCTCGCAGACGTCCTCCTTCGTGACCTCCAGGCCCATGGTCCTCCCCAAGGCAACAATGTCCTGCACCACTGTTGACTCTGGTGCATCAGAGTCACTTGGTGCCACACAGTCCGGCCACAGGCTGCGCCAAGCGCAATTCAAATTTCTCTGGCTGATCCCGTTCCAGGCCGTGGTGATCATCTTCAAGCAGGTGACGATGTCGAAGTGGTCCTTCCAGAATTCCCGCAGGGTGGTGGTGGTGCAGTCAGTCACCTCGAAGCATCGCCTGAAAAGCTCCTTGGTGTAGAGTTTTTTGAAATTGGCGATGACCTGCTGATCCATCGGCTGGAGCAGTGGCGTGGTGTTAGGCGGCAGGAACATGATGTTGATGAAGCTGAACTCCTCCAACAAGTCCACCTCAAGGCCTTTAGGATGGGCAGGAGCATTGTCCATCAGAAGCAAAGCCTTCAGCGGCAGGTCGTTGTCCAGCAGGTACTGCTTGACAGCAGGGCCAAAAGCAAGATTGACCCAGTCCACAAACAGCACACGTGTGACCCAAGCCTTGCTGTTGGATCGCCACATGACACTCAGCCGCTCCTTGTCGATCTTGTGTCTCTTGAAGGCCCGTGGGTTCTCCGAGTGGTACACCAGCAGGGGCTTGATCTTCAGGTCGCCGCTTGCGTTGGCACAGAAGAGCAGGGTCAGACGGTCCTTCATGGGCTTGTGGCCAGGCAACTTGGACTCCTCCTGAGTGATGAAAGTCCTTTTGGGCATCCTCTTCCAAAACAGCCCGGTCTCGTCGCAGTTGAAGACCTGCTGTGGAACTTAGCCCTCCGTCTTCACAACCTCCAGGAACTCCACTGCAAAGTCTTCAGCCACAGGAACATCAGAACTGGCAGCCTCTCCATGCCTGACCACGCTGTGGATGCCAGATCTTGTCTTGAACCGTTCAAACCAACCTCTGCTTGCCTTGAAGACTTCTGGCTCGCCTGAGGTTCCTGGCTGTTCCCGGATGAGGTCAGCGTGCAAGGCCTTGGCCTTGTCACAAATGACGGCCTCAGACACTGTGTCCCCTGCACGCTGCTTCTCTTCTATCCAGATGAGCAGCAACTTCTCGACCTCCTCCAGAACAGCTGGGCGGTTCTTCACGATCCTGGTGACTCCCTTGGCTGCATCAGTCGCCAGGATCTTCTCCCTCATCTTCAGGATGGTCCCGATGGTTGATGGATTCCTCCCGTACTCCCTGGCGATGTCCGTCACACGCATTCCGCCGTCGTGCTTCCGGATGATCTCCTTCATTTCCAGCGTCACCTTCTCCTTCTTCCTCTCGCCGGCCACCGCAGCAGCAGTCTTCTTGGGTCCCATGGCAGCACAGCTCTTACCTTCGTAAACTCAGAAAAAGAAAAAAAAATCAGTGATGTGCTTCAAATCCAAAAAATTCAAAAGCACCCAGCCACCCACCACACAGAAATTAAAACCCAGAACCAAGTCCTTGAATCCCAAAAACCCCAACCCAAAATCCAAAATCCAAAACCCCCCAAAAAAGTTTTAAAAGTTTAACTTACCAAATGGATGCAAGAGAAGTTCTGGGAAAGCTTCAACAATCAATCACCGAAGTCTTCAGAAACCTCAAATGGCTGCAAAATAAGTTTTGGAAAAGCTTCAAAAATCACCAATGTCTTCAAAAACCTCAACTGTTCCCACAGACACCCACCCACCCACCACACAGAAATTGCAAACCCCTCCCCAACTGCTCCCCCAGCCCCTCCCCAACTGCTGCAAACCCCTCCCCAACTGTTCCCCCACCCAGACAAAAAAAATTTCAAAAAATAACAACATGGCTCAATGGTCCCAGATTCCTGCAGAAACCTCCCCAACTGTTCCCCCAGCCAGCCAGCACTCAGAAATTCAAACTCAGGAAATTTTTTTTGAAAAAAAACAACCTGGCCCAATGGTCACAGAAAATCATAAAAATTCCCAAAAAAGCCCCACAAGCTCCCAGATTCCTGCAGAAACCTCTCCAACTGTTCCCCCAGCCAGCCAGCACTCAGAAATTCAAACTCAGGAACAATTTTTTGAAAAAAAAACAACCTGGCCCAATGGTCACAGAAAATCATAAAAATTCCCAAAAAAGCCCCACAAGCTCCCAGATTATCGCAACCCCCCCCACAACACCAAGTCCTTGAATCCCAAACACCCCAACCCAAAATCCAAAACCCCCCAAAAAAGTTTTAAAAGTTTAACTTACCAAATGGATGCAAGAGAAGTTCTGGAAAAGTTTTGGAAAAGCTTCAAAAGTGAGCAAAGTCTGAGAAAAGGCTACAAAACCACGTGCTAACAGTTGCTCCTCGAAGTCAAGTCGCAACTGCAGCTGTTCAAGCTAAGCACCCTTTGTTTTAACGGTTTTAAGAAAAAGGAAACAAAGTCGCGAGACGTTTTCGTCTTGCGAAGCAAGCCCATAGGGAAATTCGTCTTGCGAGGCAACTCGAAAATGGAAAAACCTTTCGTCTAGCGAGTTTTTTGTCTTGTGAGGCATTCGTCTTGCGAGGTACCACTGTACCTTCTCACCTTCTTCACGTATGTACTCTTCCCCCATCCCCTTCATGTGTTGAGCAGGACATATGCAAGGAACACAAACAGTGATCCCGGTCATATGGCACGTCTACATACACAAATGTGTGCTCCTTTATATACAGTGGTACCTCTGGTTAAGAACTTAATTTATTCTGGAGGTCTGTTCTTAACCTGAAGCAACACTTTAGCTAATGGGGCCTCCTGCTGCTGCTGCGCTGCCAGAGCATGATTTCTGTTCTCATCCTGAAGCAAAGTTCTTAACCCGAGGTACTATTTCTGGGTTAGCGGAGTCTGTAACCTGAAGTGTCTGTAACCCGAGTTACCACTCTATATCACTCAATTTGTGGATAAGGCCTGGGCCCACCACACATGTTAGTATGTGAGCTGTAGCGTTTTGGGGTATAATAATAATAATAATAATAATAATAATAATAATAATAATAATAATAATAATTTATTATTTATACCCCGCCCATCTGGCTGGGCCTCCCCAGCCACTCTGGGCGGCTTCCATAAAAACCAAAAATACAATAAAATATCACATGTTAAAAACTTCCCTGAACAGGGCTGCCTTAAGATGTCTCTTGAATGTCAGGTAGTTATTTATCACTTTGACATCTGCTGGAAGGGCGTTCCACAGGGTGGGCGCCACTACCGAAAAGGCCCTCTGCCTGGTTCCCTGTAGCTTTGCTTCTCGCAATGAGGGAACCGCCAGAAGGCCCTCGGCGCTGGACCTCAGCGTCCGGGCAGAATGATGGGGGTGGAGACGCTCCTTCAGGTATACTGGACCGAGGCAGAATGATGGGGTGTGGTGTGAACGCTCCCCATGTTCCTACTGGGGTTGGAAAGGGGTTAGTTTAACTTCTGGTTAAAACGGAATTGCTGTGTTGTGAAATGATGTCTATATAAAAAGTGTCACCAACATGAAAAGTTTGGAATGCTCTGCTTTAGAAGTCGCTGAACTCTACCTTCCATCAGCACCAGCCAGTAATCCAGGATGGATAGGATGTAGTCCATCTGTGGATGATGTCACTGCCAGAGAGAAGGTATCTGAATTTTGCACAGGGTCTCCCCCTCCAGAGAAGCATAAAATGCTTGATTTATCTAACAGGGTGGCTATTTTTTTTTTCTTCAAATCACGCTTGGCCCCTTTTGCAAATCAGATTGGAAACTGTTGAGTCAATTGCTTTTTTAGAACCTAGAACCTGCTGTACTGCAGGATTATGAATTTAAAAGGTGGCTTTCTTCTGATCATGCAAATATAACCAGGATATTGAACACTGAAGATTTAACATTAATTCTCCCTTTGGAAAACTTTATTGAGTTGAGGCCTTCTTTCAACATACCTATGATACGCACACCTTTCTCAAACTTCTACAACTTTTAGTTTGAATACTTGCTTTGTAAATCTGTGCAGGCCTTGCACTTCTTTTCAGTAAAGCAATTATGTGGATTTCAGTTACCAAAGCTGACAGCTTATTTTGTTAAAAACAGCAATAAGGCTGATTTTCCACCTAGGAGTGGGAGGTTTGCACTGAGGGGAAGCTGTGCTGAACAATTTACACCACTAGGGGATGCTCTTGATTTTTTTTCTAGGCAATTCTTTTGGCCCGGATTTGGGTACATAAATCCAGAGTTGTGTTTAGGTTTCAGATATATATCAAGCACCTAGAATCCTGGAATCTCATATGTATATATAAAATTTAGAGAGGAGGTAAAAATGCAAGAAGTAATGGATGGTTTTTATAGAAAGCTGTTTTGGGAGTAAGTGGCAAATAAACCATTAATATGAAAGGCCTGAGTGAAAATCAATTTTGTTTGGGTGAAATCTAAAGGCACATTTCAGTCACTAGATGGCGTTCATGCTGCAGCTGACTGATCACTATTGCTATAACTTTAAAAATAGCATGCAGGCTGTAAAGTTCACCAGTTCTGTTACAAGCATTTTAAAAAATGACCCAAAGTCAGGTCCCATGGATGGCAATAGGAGAATTAGCCACATGCTTAACTTTGGCTGGACTGCTGCACTATATATTTGTACATGTGCACATACAGCCTGGTTCTGTTTGTGTTGACTCCAAAGTTCATCAGTAACCAAGTTCAATGGGACTTGCTTCCAAGTATAGGATTCTAGCAAACGTACTTTGACCCAAGTCCTGCTGAGTTCAGTAGAGCTCCCTTCCAAGTAACGCACTGTGAGAAAGGCATATATAATGTTGTAGTTTGACTGGTCTTGCACCTAAATTAGACATGGCGTTAATTGTGTAAATGCAGTTCCCAAACTAAAGCACTTCACACAACACTGTTGGGATCTGGGGCAGAGTCTTGCCTCTCCAATGCTCAGAGAAGCTTTTCTGTTTGAATGTAATTAAGGCTGTGGCTTATCTGAAATTCAGTGGTGGGAACTGCAGTGGTGAAATTGCCACACCTTCACTCCTCATAGCTTAGTGTAAGGTTGTTGTCTGATGGTTTGTTCTAGGTCATAAAGGATTTGCTAGAGTACTAGAAACAAGTTTCTTAATCCAGCTCTGCATGTGCGATGTTAGGGTGGCTGGGACTTGTTGCTTTCTTCAGTATGGCATCCTCTTGATTGTGCTCAGCTTCCTATCTGTGGCCCAGCTACTCCCTAGAACGTTCTGTCGCGGAAGCTCTCTGTGTATTTGGTCATAAGTTTAAACCACTGGGGGATATCCCACAGCAATGAGCTTTGACAATTTCTCAGGAGCTCTCCCTCTTTTCCTGCTGTGGTTGACTCGTAATACAATTCTTGCCTCACCTTGTCCTGACCCTGCAAGCCATGTCTTGAATTACTTGAATCTGTCCTGGCTGAAATGTTGTATTTCTACCCAGTCCCAAGTCCTTCAAATCGTTTTGTTCAGTCATTTGGCTTGATATTTATCCTTGCTTTCCAAACAGGTATTCTCTTTTAAGTCTCCTGTTGAAGATTTGCTACAACAGGTAACGGGCTTGCTTGCTTCTTAGATTAAGGCAGCAAACTGCTTGAAGCAACTTAACTCTAAGCATGAATGAATTTGCTGTTTGTACTTTACAAGACTGGCTTCCCTTACCTCAATGCATACAGTGGTACCTTGCAAGACGAATGCCTCGCAAGACAAAAAACTCGCTAGACGAAAGGGTTTTTTGTTTTTTGAGCTGCTTCGCAAGACGATTTTCCCTATGGGCTTGCTTCGCAAGACGGAAACGTCTTGCAAGTTTGTTTCCTTTTTCTTAAAACCGTTAATACAGTTGCGACTTGACTTCGAGGAGCAACTCATAGAACGCAGTGTGGTAGCCTTTTTTGAGGTTTTTAAAGACTTTGGTGATTTTTGAAGCTTTTCCAAAACTTTCTCGACACCATGCTTCGCAAGACGAAAAAAATCGCAAGACGACAAAACTCGCGGAACGAATTAATTTCGTCTTGCGAGGCACCACTGTATTTGTTTACAGGTATCTTTGGTTTATAAGCCCATGCTGCAGGGAAACTGATTTGCATATTTTACTATAACAGTGCAGAATAGGAAGCCAAGTCTACCAAGGTATATGTAAACGATAATATCAATACAATCTTCCTCTTTCATAAAAGCAGTGATTTCTGCTGAAATTAAATCACATTAATATAAATGAAGGAAAACCTATATTAAAACAGCTTTCCCTTTGGGCTAGAAACGCAGGGAAAAATTGAAAACTTTTACATATGCTATGGCAGGGGTAGGCAACCTAAGGCCCATGGGCCACAAGCGGCCCACAGGGGTCGTTTAACCGGCCCATGAGCTGCCTCCAAACTGAGCCGCCTGCTTGGCGAGTCCCCGCAGGCTGCGCTAAACCAGCGCGGCACAGGGACTCACTTCCGTGACGCCGGAAATAGCGGGCGCGCACACATGAGAGCAATCCAGCCCTCTGGGATCTCCGCTGGAGTGAACCAGCCCAGGCAAGGTAAACCCTGTGCTACGGCAAGCCATCTCAATGTTAAGAGTTTCATAATGATCTCTGATGGCAGGAGCAGTGGGATTCTCTAAACTTTTCTATTATCAACATAACACTTTAACTACATTTAAGTCCTGCCCTTCTTATGAGGAATTCAAGGTGCCCTGCTTTTCAGACTGGGTTCCTTCCTATGTTTATGGCCATGCTGGTCAACCAGAAGTTATGAAGATGTGGAATGTATATAATCTGTTGATCTAGTAATTCCATCCTTGGTTTTGCAGCTACATTAAAGCACTGCTACATTAGGTATTCTAGCATGCAAGAAAGAGGCCAGAAAGTTCTCTGCAGAACAGAGTTCAACTGGGGGAACTGGTTACTTTTAGTCAAGGCCATCCAGACATTGCTTTCTGAGGCAATAAACTTACCACAATATTGTTATTCCTCATAATAATACCATAATAATATTTTTAAAATTTATATCCCGCCCATCTAGCTGGGTTTCCCCAGCCACTCTAGGCGGCTTACAACATATATAAAAACACAACAAAACATCAAACATTAAAAAACAAAATATTCTATACAAGCCACAAACAAACCAATAAATCAATATAAATCAACAACAACAACAATAATCTTACACTAACCTGGCACTCTCTAAATGAGTGTGTGTGTTTGTGTGTATTTATAAATTTATTACTTGTCTCTCACCACAAAGTTCCAGGGTAGATTACAACAATATACAATAAACACAAGTAAACACAAGTAAAAGAGTTCTAAACAAAAATAAAACAGTATAGATTAAACGGTACAGATTTTGGACTTCAACACCCCATTCGTCCCAGGAAACATGGTTATAGAACTGAGGGTCCTTGGAGATTGGAGGAGATTGCTTGACCTCATCAATTTAATGTGACAAATATTTCTTTCGGATGTGCCCTCATCCAACCTGTATATGCCACACCACATAAGCTTCTAAGTTTGCAAGCCTCTCACTCTCTTTCTGTGATGTTGAAATCAAGGAAAGAAAGAGTAATCATGTGAAACTGATTAGACAAGGTAAGCCTATTTGATATTATCATTTCAAAATGTGTTAAGCAGCTCTTAGGATTCCCTTTTGATAGCCTGGGATGAGCTGAGTACAGCTGGGGTTAGATAACAAAATAGCCAAGCCCATAGCTTAAACCAGGGGTAGCCAATGTGAAGCCCTCCTGATGTTCATATAATCCACAAGTTGGAAGGGAGGCTGATGGGAGTTGTAGTCCAACAACATTTGGAGGACATAATGTTGGCTACTCCTGGCTTAAACTTTCTGCATCAGCGTTCTGCCCCATTGCTGATCAAATCTTAAGGGGCCTTGCCTAAGAAATGCTTGTGTTTTCATTACAGTGCCACAGCAAAATCAGAATAGCAGTCAAGATTTCTAAATGATAGTACCCAATTAGAATGTGTATATAGACATTTATAAAATGAAGATAATTGGGTTAAGTAGTCTACCTTGGGGAATTTGACACATCTGCCTGGTTCCACCCATTCAGAATCACTGCATATAAATTACCTCACTCTAGCTAATAACTACTCTCCTCACATTCTCTTCTCCCTCTCTGTCCTTCTCAGACCCTCAGCGACCTCTTTTATGATGACTACTTCCAAATCTGCCTTCCATCTTGGCTATGTAGACCTGAAGGAGCGTCTGCACCCCCATTGTTCTGCCCGGACACTGAGGTCCAGCTCCGAGGGCCTTCTGGCAGTTCCCTCATTGTGAGAAGTGAAGTTACAGGGAACCAGGCAGAGGGCCTTCTCGGTAGTGGCACCTGCCCCGTGGAACGTCCTCCCTTCAGATGTGAAGGAAATAAACAACTATACAGTATGACATTTAGAAGACATCTATAGGCAGCCCTGTTTAGGGAAGCTTTTAATGACTGATGTTTTAATGTATTTTTAATCATTTATTTACCGGTATTTATTATACATACATACATACATACATACATACATACATACATACATACACCAGAGCTCCTTTTTGCCCTTATAGTGTTATGGGGCCAAACAGTCATAAGGGACATCATTAGCATGTTATAAGGTATTCCCATTTAAGTGCCTGCCCTTGAGATAATAATGTGCCTTTCTCCAGGAGGCTTTTTGGTGGCTTCCACAACTTTGGAATTCCCTTCCCAAGCAAATCCAGGAGGCATTTTCTGTGAATTCATTTGGGCACCAGATTATTATTATTATTTAACTTAACACAGCTGTTCTGTTCTGAAACTACTATAGTTTCAATTATAGTAGTTTTAATTTATTGTCCATTTTAGTGTTTTAATTTGTATAACTATATTGCTTTTTAACTTACTGTAATTGCTTTTTAATACATTAAAGAATTTGAGTCGCTGCAGAGTTCTGGCCATCTCTCTGCCACATGGTGATGATAAATATCCTAATTTCCCCAGTCAAACCATCTCTCTATTTTTCAGTCACTGATAAAATTATTTTTATTCTCCTTTCGCCCCTCCCTCTCCATGATCTTTTCTGATCAACGTTTCTAAAATCTGACCTGGTGTAGACTGCATTTAAATATGTGATACATGTCCAGGTCAATTTTGTTCAAAGATTGTCCTCTCCATTGCGCCCCCCCCCCCCCGCTCCTGCCATTCCTGGTTATTTCTTTCTTGGTGCATTTGAGATGTTATCAATGATGAACTAGTCATTCCAAAGACTAGTGTTGTACAACAACTCCCTGTTTATGGTGCTAATACCACTTGAGGCTCCATATAGAGGTCCGCTTTCACTTCTAGCACTTACCATGAGGTGGCCTTCTGCTTGTTGTATAAAAGTTCACAATCAAAGATGCTGTTTGCATCTTTGTACACAGGCCATGCTAGAGGTCACTACACGCCTCCTTAAGCAAACAGGGATCCACGCCAGCTGATAAATCATTTACAAGAAGAAGTCAGAAGCGAAGAGCTGGAGATTAAACAGGTCACTAGGTGTCCTGATGGAATGACGTGTTGGAAGAGCTGAACCAGCAGATCCTGGGACTGCAACCAATAAGTTTCCAACAAACGGACTGAAATGCACGAGAAAAGAAAAAAGCACCCTTTAGAGATTGGTTAGAAAGAAGAATTACTGCCAGCATGGATTAGTGGCTTAGCATTGAACTCAGAAATCAAAGTTCACGTTGTTACTCAAATATGAAATCATGAGTGCATACCCTCCAAGTGTCCCTATTTTCCAGGGACAGTCCCAGAATTATGAAAACCATCCCAGCTTCTGATTTGATCCTGGAATGTCCTATTTCACCACCACCAGCGCTGAGCTCGGGGAGGATGACTGGGTGCTTGTCCTCAACGGCGGCGGCTGTGAGGGGGCATCCCATTTCTTCTCCATGGCCACCACTGCTGGCCTCCTCCATCAGGCAGCTCATAGCAGGTGCTGGAGACTGGGTGAGGAGGAGAAGAAAAGGCAGCCACCACTGAGACCCAGCCCCACTTGGCTCCAAGATGCAGACATGGGCAAGGGCTGTCCTGGGTGTGAAGAAAGGGGGAGCAGAGGAGAGTGCAAGGAGTCTTGATAATTTTTTTTAATTATTTGTGTGTCCACGTCTAATCTTGCCCCTTTCTAAAATGTATTTATTAGTGTGTGATTTTCTTTTTGTAAATCTACAATAGAATAGAATAGAATAGAATAGAATAGAATAGAATAGAATAGAATAGAATAGAATAGAATATGGATTAATGGGTTTTTTCAAGACAGTGGAAGGTGTGCGTTCCATTGGAGTAGTGGTGGTCAAAATGCTCGTTTTTGTTGTTTTACAAAAAACGGAGGGTCGAGGAGGATCATGTGTGCATGACAAAAGTCCCTATTTCCATCTGAGGAATGTTGGAGGGTATGTGAGTGGTTTGGGGAAAGTCACTGTCTTGCAGGCTCAGAGGCCTGTATGTTAACAGGACCCCTGGTGGTGGCAGTGATGCACTATCTTTAGGCAAGCAAGCAGTGGCCTGGTATGGAATTAAACTCCTTTGCACCAGGATGTACAGCAACCCAACAAGCAGGCCCCTTCCTTAAGGATCTTATTCAGATCTCCCCACTTGCATCTTGTCACAGTAAAAGTCAATAATATTCATGGCCGCTGTGATCCAAGCAGATGTGAAAGGTAAGTCAAGACCGATGTAGGAGGGTATCAGCTGAAAGGAGAAAATCAAACCGTTTTTGTCTCTCTTGTTTCCGGGACATAATTATAAACTGCCGCGATGGTTGTGAGAGTCGCTTCTTCGCCCTCCGGAGCTTGACAATGCAATGGAGAGTGGGTGGATTGAAGGAATTTGCAGGAGTGCAGGGCAGAGGGAGAATAGGGGAACACGAATGGCAGCTTCCAGAGCAACAGCTTGCAAAGAAAATGACTGTTATGAACTGAAAATATGGAAACAGCTGCTGAGCACAGTGCAACATCTTCAAAGATTTGTGCAGGCAGGGCTAGGCTCCTTAGGGGAAAGAGCTTTCAAACGTTTGGTAGTTGGAAATGCCCTCAGGTGCAGGATTTCTTTCTTTTTTTAAAAAAGGGGGGTGGCGAGAATTAAAATCTTCATACCTCACCCTTCCTTACAAACCAGAACCATAAAATACAATAAAAGGCTGTTAATGGTTCTCATCAAATAATGTAATCCTTCCTCTCCTGTCATAATATCCTCTCCACACAGACACACACAAAAGAAACTACAGCAAGGATCCAAGGGAGATGCTTGTAGAAAATGTTGGTTTTATCACCTGGGCAGAGTATAAAGTTAGATTACGATCACAATTAATATTATTCATGTAGTGCCAAAAATGTGTGTGGTTCTTTCCTAAGTAATCAGGGCAGGCTCTACGGTTGTGCCGCAAGGAGGGTTACAATCTAAAATCTGATACAGGAGAAGACCAGAGGGAGTGAGGGTAGCAAGGAAGGAATATGCATTTTGTTCAACTGGCATCCAACTTGCTGCTTAGGAAGAGAGGATGAGTACATTAACTAGAGATATCTGCTAAAATGATCAGCAGTGAGGCTTCATAAAATAATCGTAACATTTAAAATAATCAGCACTGTATCTCAAAAATGCCATGGTGCACCCGTAGCAGCAAAATCGGACGCCTTCATCTGCCCCACCTGCAATAAAACATGTCTCTCCCTGATTTGTTCTCTACAGCAGATGCTGCAACTCTCCCAATGGTTTTGTTTTACCCCTGAAGGCACACTCTTCCATTGTCTCCCGAGACAGACAGATGCCAACAACAAATCTGAGAACTGAGTTTATATCTTTTTGCTGAACGAGAGTAGCACACATCGCATACAAACATATATTTACTGTGTGGTTCCCGTTCCGTGAGTTGGGGGTGCAGGGGCAGGAATAGTACCCAGGGCCCCTCACCCTCAAGGGTGGAACATTCCAACATTGAAAGTACACTCCTGTTGAGACATTGGGCCAGGGTGTAACAAGAAGGGGGCTTCAGGTAATTATGCAAGCCACCCACCCCCTGGGCCTCTGAGAATCTTTTAAAAGAGCATTTTCTTATCACAATCAAAGTGAAGGAAGTGATATTGTTGCACACCACACCAATCTGAGCAGTATGAGATTCCAGGGCTTCTGGGCGCATACCCAGGCTTCGTGTTTCCTTCAGAATGAGGCACAGCAGAGACTGTGGTTTCTTTATGGTATATGGTTTATTTACACATGTATACAAACTGAGTCTGTGATGGAGGGGCTCACAGCATTAAAGCCCGTGTGGCTCTGTCTCTCTGTTTCTAGCCTGCAGTTTTTGCATCCAGCTTCTAGCTCACACAACTCAACTCTTAACTCTGGCCTTATGTCTTTCTAACAGACAGTTGAGGGAGGGAGGCCCACCCATTCCCCCTCTGCCACAGAGCCACTGTTACCCTAAAGGACCCATACTTAGGGGGCCATTACCAGGCTGGCCTGGCTAGTCCAGCAATTGAATCCTTGCTGGTTCCAGGAATTAGAAGTTGCACTCAGGCATACAGCCTACCCTGTCCCCAACTCACAACAATATGTTTCTATTCAGAAGTTTGAATTCAGGAGTAAAAAAATATAAACGAGTAGGTGTATGATTCCCATGTCTAGGATTGCCTTACAATATTATTTTCTAGGGGTCCGAGGAAAAATCTAGTTGGGCAGAATCTAAGAGGAGGCTCCCTCTGTTTCTTTGTTTTTTTAAAACTAGATTTTGAACTAGTAGAGCATGTCTCACTCACTCACTCACTCACTCACTCACATTTTGCTTCATTCCCTCCACCTCCCCATTTTTCTAATAGGCTATTCATCTCCCCTTTTTTAAAAATAGAAAATGAGGTTTTAAAATGTTGGACATCATGGTATATTTCCACATATTTCCTCCCCCACATGCCATGTTTATTATGTCTCAGTAGAAATGGCGATAGGCCTTCCGTGAATAATGGCTTTTTACAGCCAAGGCCCTTCATGAATGACAACCCAGACATTTGTTATTCTGAGTAGCTTGTACGTGCAGTGCTAAATGTAGTAACTTTGATACAAGTCTGGGTGAAGGATTTATGGTTTGTTTTCTGTTTTAATTAAAAGAGCACTGAAGCATCCTGCTAGAGTTAAGAGGGTGATATGGACTTTGGATGGAGATCTAAAGGAGAAAGTATGTCATTTCTGTTTCTTGAATGTGCCCCTTTAATTGTAATCGGCCACAAGCCAGGTAACCTATTAAACCCTTTGCCCTTTGCACTGCAAGAGGATAAGAGCATGTAAAATCCAGTAACTCTTTAACTAGGAGACCAAGCATTACTTCAGTTCAACAGCAACTACTCTTTTGTTTCTTTGGCTCAAAGTTGCCGACCAGAGTATCTGCTTCACAGCCCACAGTACCTGAAAGAGCATTAGCTCTGCCAAAGAGAGCCCGAGATACAACCTACCTCTTCCCCTTGCTTGATGACCCTTCCTCTGGAGATCCTTGTACTCAACTTGTATTTCTTACTTGTCCCTCACAAGACAAAATGCAAACAATATCGAGTTTGTCATCTCCAGATTTTGGAGTGTTTTCAGCAACTCTTGTGGCTTAGCTAACACAACCCTGTGGGGTGCCTGGAATATAGCCCTTTTTGGCCCTTGAGTCTGAAGTGTTTGGTCAGTGGAGATTAAAAATTTGGATGGATTCTGTCAGAAAAGGAAATGAGAGTGGAAATAGCCACAGTTTGCATGTTCAGTTTGCATGTATTTGTAACGTCAAATACAAGAGGTATTCACTATCTTCTTTTTTTTTAGTCCACAAATGCCTCCTAAGCTGATGCTCTAAACCACTACACTGATAAACTAGCCTGCTTCCCCCCATTCTTTAACTTTGCACACGCACCCTGGAAAAAGTGCTTTGGACAGCCATGTATGCCGCAGCTCCAGATACAAGAAAGTGACTGAGACTGAAGCTTACAGGTCATCCTGGCCTAGGGCTGTGAAGCCAGAGCCAGATATGAGAAAATAAGGGTGGAATCGGGTTCAGGTTAAGCTCTATTTAACTAGATGTGACTTAGTTTTGCGCAGAAATGTATAGAACTGTGCTGCAAATCACTCATTTGCATATCACTCAAGAATTATACGCTTGTCTCCTCTTTTAAGATACCCATCTTAGGTAAGAGGAACAACTTTCTTCCCCCTTTTCTCCTCTCTGTTTAGAAAGAACTCTAGTTTGTTGTTGTTGTTTGTTGTTGTTGTTCAGCTTGTTGGCTTTCCCCTTTCTTATTCCAGGAATCATTGCAGGGATTGGGGGAAGATAAGCTAGAGGCATTGCACACTGCTTTAGACCATTCTCTCTCCTCGCCTTTCCCATTGAGCCTCTTAGGCTTGCCAATCAGAAGGTCAGTGGTTCGAATCCCTGCAATGGGGTGAGCTCCCGTTGCTCTGTTCCCAGCTTCTGCCAACCTAGCAGTTCGAAATCACACCAGTGCAAGTAGATAAATAGGTACCGCTGTGGCGGGAAGGTAAACAGGGCTTCCGTGCACTCTGGCTTCTGTCACGGTATTCCGTTGGCCACATGACTCTGAAAGCTGTCTGCGGGCAAACGCCGGCTCCCTCGGCCTGAAAGCGAGATGAGCGCTGCAACCCCATAGTCGCCTTTGACTGGACTTAACCATCCAGGAGTCCTTTATCTTTTTACCTTGCTACCAATACAACACCAGGTCCCATATATCCTTCCAAAACAAGAGGCTGCTGAGAGGGAAAGTCTGGCTAGCCAACGTGGTAGCTTCTAGTTGTTGCTGGACTCCACATCCCATCAGCCCAAGCCATCCGGGCCAGTAGTCAGGAAGGATAGGAGTTGTAGTCCAACAACATCTGGAGGGCATAGCTGTCAATGTTTCCCCTTTTTAAAGGGAAATTCCCTTATTGAGAATAGGATTCCTCACAAGAAAAGGGGAAAGTTGACAGCTATGCTGGAGGGCACCACGGTGGCTTGTCCCTGTTGTAATATGTTCCATATGTTCTCCAGGTGGCTTACAAAACAGTAAAATATATGCATAAAAGAAAATTAACATAGCATTCCAAATCAAAATAAAAGTGTCAGTAATAATCATGACTGTCAAAGATTATTTTTTTTTATCATTTAAGGTGCAGGGTTTTTTTTAAACAGGCAGGCATAGCAACCAGGAGGCAAGCTGAACTGGGAACACAATAGGCTGGGGATGGATGGAAGTTCTTTTTGCACCAAAATACCAACAAAAATATCCTCCTAAGCCTGCTATTTGCACTGGGTATAAAGGTCTCATGGATGCCAATTTCTCCTCATCTCTGCTTAGAACAGTGGTTTGACCAAAGCTGCCTAATGTCTTTATGACTTGAAGTTAGATTTGAACTGGGGACTTCCCAGTTGACACTCAAAGCCACTACACAACATCATCTCTCAAACACTGACTAGATTATCTCACTGATAACAAGGAGACTTTTGATTTTAGCCTGCATATATCAACCAGACACATGCATGTTAAAAGTATTTGCCTACGACTATAGAAACACATGGGTCTCATATTTGAAACAAAACGACTATGGATTTCCAGAGGTGTTTTCAGAGTATGTAAAACTTCCCCGCATGTTGGAAATCTGCTTACAGCAGCAAATACATGAGAACCTAACGATGAAAGAGAATGGCCTCTTAAAATGGAACTGTTTCACTCACACTGTGAGTCAAAATGAGAAAGCACACAGAGCTGTGGAAAGTGAAGAAGGTGTTCAGTAAAGTTATTTGAATCATTAAAAAAAGGACTTAGTGTGTGAAAAATTAAAAACAAAACACTAGACCTAAACAAGACATAAGATGGCTGCTGTGTTAAGTTTCTTGAGAACAAGATCTGAATAAGGGAATATCAGGGTAGGTCCCTCTTCTGTTCATCTATGCTTGCAAGTTATTCAGAAGTCTTCGTTGGGTAACCTCACCTGCTTACTTACATCTTTACAAAACATTTGCCTCCAGCAAGGTCCAGTTATATCAACAGGATTTACTTCCAGGTCATAATGTTGTAAGATCTGGGTGCCAGCTACTTTCTAATTTTGCCTGATAAGGGATTCTGTGCAGGATCAAAATTCCCATTCTCTTATCACCCCTTTTGTATATTGTGGATAGTGTTCAACATAGCACTAAATCTCTCAGAGATTTCTCCTTGCGTAATGGAACTTTCTCCATTATTATTATTATTATTATTATTATTATTATTATTATTATTAACTGCCCTTCATCTGAAGATCACAGGGTGGTTCACAACATAAAACCACACCTCTCTTCCCTCATGCACCCCCTAAATCTGTTTGTGGGGGTCCTCCAACCCTCCAGAGCAGATTTGGGGGTGTGGGTATGCAGTGGGAGAAGAGAAGGGAACTTCCTGTTTCACTAATAGTAAACCAATGAAGCACACAACTGTTTCATTGAACACTGCTCACAATTCATTAAATCTAATATATGTTTTTTTAAATTAAAACAAGAGGGCCAGTTCAATACATGGTGGTCTTCGCCCAGCAGATGCAGAAGCAACTATGTGTCTCCTCTGACAACTATAGAATCCATTATTCTGACTTTTCTTGTCAAAATTAGGCTTGTTTGCAAAGAGTAGTAAGGCCAACTCAGTTTGTATAGGTGCTATTTTGGTTAGCTGAGAGCTCACCATAGGTTCAAATATATATAGCAAAGTAGTCAGGAGACTATGGAAACTTCAGGGTAGAATTGTCTCTTTTCCATTCTTATCTCATTGGCATCCAATAGCAACCCAGGTAGAATCTTCCACACATAGGAATGAGCAAATCTGTCAATTTGGTTTCTCTTAGTTTTTCATTTTTCCATTCTTAAGTTCAGTTCCGCATCAGCTTGAAAATTATAAACAAATAAGTCCTAATGAAAATTCAGTGTTTTAGCGTGAATTTCTCCTAATATACACATATTTGTGCAATTCTGCCTACTATACACATTTTGGCAAAGCAATTTTCACTATGCATCTTTATACACACTTCATTCCAGTACATGCATTTTTGGTCACGTTACTTGGCTAGAGAACTGCTTTGCAAAATTCGGATAAGTGAATTTAAATAGCTGTGTTTCTGTTAGTGCATTGTTTTGGAAAGTACAGATTAGGCAGATGAATTGAATTTGTTTCCCTACACTGTCACCCCTTGGAAAGACATCCATCAGGGACTGATTTGAATGAGGCACACACTTAGACATCATATGCAGATGTCTGGTCATGACTATACCATCATATTGAAAAAGCATAATAAGCATTTGAAAAATAAACCCACTTTGCCAAATCCCCACATACTGAACTGATTGTAGTTACTAGCCCCAAGTTAAGCATATTATGTTCTATGAACCAGGCATGTTCATGTTATACTGAGTACTGGAGCCGAGGGGGATTCTGGGACAAACTTTTTACAGTGTTTGAAAGCAAGAATATATTATATTACCATATAATCTAAGGCATTCTCCCCGCAGAAAAACACAAAAAATTATTTAATGAACTCTGACCGAAGAATTTAAACATGGCACCATAAGCTCAGGTTTCGCTTCCTAAAAGAGAAACCAAATACAGAAGTGAAGACTTTTGAAATAAAACACAGGCTTATGGTGGGAGGAGTAGAGTTGTAGCCACATCCTGACTGGTTATGCTGTTTATAACCGGTGAAAGTCCCTCTAAAATTAACCTCCCACTGACATAACCCAAGCGTTACTAGTTTTGCAACATCAATAACTGACATTCCTTCTCCCTTCTTCCCGGTTGCTCTTCTTATCCAGAGTCACAGAGTTTTTAAACAGAAAGGTAATACACTTTCTCACCTGGTCTGTCGTTCTTTTTGCATAAATCATATGTCACATTGACACACAGGAGACACTGTAATACACAAAACACATGTTGCTATAGATCCAGCTGGTAGTAAATAAGAGCTCCAAGAATGTATAGAGTTTTATGACACAGAAGCACACTTGGGTATATGCCAATGGTTTAAAAACAGGGGTGCGGAATTATTATTGTTATTAAATATCTTATCAAAAAATCACTCAGTTGCCGATTTTAAAGAAATTCTGAACATTGACATTTATTTTAAATCTGACATTTAATATAAGGGCCCACTTTCTGAAAGGAGCCCAGCGGTTTCCATGTCTAAATTCTCTAACGAAACTGACAGTGGAGTAAAGGCACATAAGTAGTGTTATGTACTGAAGTTTTCACCCTGGGCCAGCAGGGGGATACTGTAGATAGTTATGCAAATGAAGGATTGAAAGTGACGTTCAGTGATTGGATAGTTTTAGAAAGTTGTTACAGTAATGTGGTACTAGAGCTCTATATAAGCAGGCTGTCTGAGCCCTTCAGTTCAGTTCTGTCCTGGCCTGTGAATAAACAAGAGCTGTTTGAAGAATCGCTGTGTCGTCTGATATGTTCACCCACAACTTAACAAGTAGTGCTTCCACTGATAATGCAGATCAACATTCACTTTAGGAGGGAACCAATTTGGCAGTTTAAGACTTCTCAGAGGGGGATCAGCACACCACTGGCCTTCCACAGTGTCAGTAGCAAACGGCAAACCTCCGGATGTTGCTCCCAGTGAACTTCCAGCAGCCCTTCTGCCAGGGATGAAAGGAGAAACAGTCTCTTAATTCCTGGGCTGGCATTTGAGCAGCTGCGGCTGCAGGAATAGGAACTGGAGAACTGGAGCAGGAACACACATGGTTCAAGGAATGGTAGGATGCCAGGTCTTGAGCCAGCCCAGATTTAGGATAACTTCTTCTTTGGCAGGGCATCTGTTCCCTTCACACGACAAGATCCATCTAGTGAAGCTTTCGCCATCAAATTCTTGCTTTTTTGTGTAGACATTAAAGACATAGCAGAAAAGTTGGTATCCTTACACCAGGCATGTCCAAAGTCCGGCCCAGGGGCCAAATCCGGCCCCCTGATCGATTTAATCTGACCCCCCCAAGCAATTCTGAGTGCCTGCTGTTCGACTTGTTCTGCCCAGGAGTCAACGCATCGGCAGAGAGCTGTAGCTCTCCAGCATCGACCCTTGAAACTGCCCACCTGCGCCCTGTTCTGTTTTCTGGCTGCTGGCCGGCTTGCGCAGGCGTCCTGCATGTGGCTCTCTATCATGGCCACTGTGCAGCTCGCTCTCCCGCCTGCCTACGGGCTCTTGCAGGGGCTCGCCGTGCGGGTTGCTTTCATGCCCGCAGGCGCTCTCGCCTGTTTATCTACCCCTCAACAACTTTGGCGTAAAATCCTAAAAAAAAGCCAAACAACTTTGACTGGCCCTCACACATGTTCACTTCATCAAATCTGGCTCTCTTTGAAAAAAGTTTGGACACCACTGCCTTACACTGATCATGGGCTAGATTCAACTAAGTTGTTGCACTAGTGGAGGCAGCACAAACGAACTTTCCCTTCCCTTCCCCCCAGCACCCCCCCAAATCTTCTCAGGAAGGTCAGGAGAACCCCCAGAAGAGCAGCTGGGGGTGGGGAGAAGAGTGGGAATTGTTCAGTAAAGGTAAAGGACCCCCGGACGGTTAAGTCCAGTCAAAAACGACTATGGGGTGCAGCAACCATCTTGCTTCAGGCCGAGGGAGATGGCGTTTGTTCACAGACAGCTTTCCGAGTCATGTGGCCAGCATGACTAAACCGCTTCTGGCGCAACGGAACACCATGACGAGTGCCAGAGTGCACGGAAACGCCATTTACCTTCCCGCCGCAGCGGTACCTATTTATCTACTTGCACTGACATGCTTTCGAACTGCAAGGTTGACAGGAGCAGGGACTGAGCAATGGGAGCTCACCCTGCTGTGTGGATTCGAACCGCTGACCTTCCAATCGGCAAGCCCAAGAAGCTCAGTGGTTTAGACCACAGCGCCACACACTCCCCAAGTATAAGAAATGGTTACACTGATTGTATTAGCATGACATTGAATTCCATCCAAGGAACAGGATTCAGCTCAGTTTTACTTAGAGTATTTCCATTTAAGTCTATTAATGTTACTCTGAGTAAAATTTGGCTGAATACCACCCAAGAATAATACAGTGATACTTCGGGTTACATACGCTTCAGGTTACAGACCCGTCAGGTTACAGACTCCACTAACCCAGAAATATTACTTCGGGTTAAGAACTTTGCTTCAAGATGAGAAGCAAAATCGTGCTCCGGCGGTGCGGCGGCAGCAGGAAGCTCCATTAGCTAAAGTGGTGCTTCAGGTTAAGAACAGTTTCAGGTTAAGAACAGAACTCCAGAACGAATTAAGTTCTTAACCCGAGGTACCACTGTATCAACATATAGGGTGGAATTCAACAATATGTTAAGGTGATCATTCCATTGGGGCAAGCATTGGAATTGCGCCCCAACCCCACATGCTGTTCTGGGGGTTATCCAGCCCCGCCCTACTTACAAAATCTGGTCACGGGTTAGGGGATCCTCTAGAGCAGATTTGGGGGTGGGGTGGCAGAGCTACAGAGGAGAGGAAGGAGACATCCACTCACACAACATTGTATATCAGCTATGGGTACCAGTGCTTCCCGCCCTCTTCATCCTACATTTTGAAACATCTAAAGGAATGAGGAGTAGATCAATTCTAAGAAATATTAAGAAATTAATGAGCTCTTCATCATCGTTTTGCTCAGGCCTTGATGAGAAAATTGCACCATTGAATCAAAAGCTCGATGGCTTCAGATCCCTGTGAAAGCTTGGTTACTTTCTCAATAAACACATGGTTGAGTTTCAAGAAGAGAAAGTCTCTGTCTCACATGGAAACTTAACTTGAAAAGTACTACTATTCACAGGGGACTTGAGCTTATTTCTGTGCAAATGTGTGCAGGAAATACATACCCAAACAGTGGCTGCAGGAGGAAGTCTAAGCCAAAAACTCCACTGCAAACAATTGCCCATTGTACAGGTGAACTATTTGAAATGAACTCTGTGAATCTGAAGTCATTCAGCGTCTTCTTAAGCTTTGAGAGAGAACTCTTGTCACTGGGTTTTCAGCATGCCATAAAGAAAGAGACAAAACAGGTCCAACCTGGTCTATCTTGTGTGATCTGTGAGTCATTCTTGTAAATCTTATTAGTCTGCTTCAAAAGACTCTTAACATCTAATAATGAACAACAAAGAAGGGGAAGGAAAGCAGCAGAACACACCATCTTCTCTGCTCTCACTTATCATGAGCTCATTTTGTCCTGGTTATCAATTATACCGCCAGAAGTTCAGCCTCCATTTAATTGACTTGATTCAGCTTTCTTAACATAGGTCTGCAAGATGTCTTATCAGTGGTCTCACCTAGCAACTGTTTCCCAGCAAAGAAAATATGCCCTCCCTGACTAACACTTCTCTGTGGATTGAAGTACACCTGATAATTTTAATTAGCCGGTTTAGAAAATGCTGAACTCTCTTGATGCACCGCTTAGGCACTCCCCTGCTTCCTCAAGGGGTCAGCCAAGCCAATGGACTGGGCTGAATATGAAGGTGAATCTGTAACCTTTTGGTGATGAGGAAGTCAAGCTGGCCGGTCACACAGCTTGGGTCTTCCTGCCTGTGGCTTACAAGGTTGCAACCCAGAAATCCCACCTGCCTCTTTAACAACTCAGCAGTCACAAAAAGAGGATGCAGCTGCGGCTTCCCCTCGCACAGTGCCACTGCGCATCCTCCTACCTGCAACTAGAGCAAGGAGGACTCTGGTTTTGCCTCACAGCAGGGAGGGGTGGTATCGCAGCTGCATCCTCTTCTGCTGCATCGAAATCTTTAAAGCGACAGGCAGATTTCCAGTTTACAAGCTGCCACCCTATGACAGGCTGTCTTCCAGCTTCTCTTAAGTGATCCATGAAAATTATGCCTTAGAAAAAGGTGATTCACCTTCGATAGACTCACCTGCTCTCTAGCCAGACTACGAGAGGGCTAGTTTGCTTTTATGAGCTGGGTAAAAAGAATAAATCCCACTAGACGCAGCTTCTGTAAAAGCTGCAGCATTGCAATGCAGAAAACCAAATCCAGCCCACCCTCTTGAGAAACATCATGCTGTTGCTGCCTGCCTGGGACTGTAAAAACAAAGAAGGGGGAAAGGGCAGGTCACAGTACCTTGGCTCATTGGTGAATCACAGGCCTTGCGTTTCCTCTTTCAATGTTTTTCTTCTCTGGCTTTCACCAATTCCTTTCATCTTCTTCTGTATGCCTTACCTTGTGAGGTAGAGCCAGGTTAATCTATTTCACACTGCAAAACTGAAAATACAAAATGTTCTCAACTTTTGCAGTCACTTTTGCACAACAACAGGCCTCTGTCGGTGTAAAATGAGAACGTTCATTTTAAGCACATCAGCAGATTGTATCGCTTTAGAGAGAGCACGTTGTATTACAACTCTTAACTACTTCCATTTCTTTATCTCAATTCTGTGCCTACAGCATTCTTGCTGAATAATCACAAATGTACATTCAAATGTAGAGGTCCTGACAACATACAAGCATTCAAAAGCAGTTGTGTGTTTTTTAAAAAAAACCTATAACACACATTCCCTGTAACATTACTTATAATTTGTGTTTGCCATCATGGAGTTCATTTTCTTACAGAGTGTGTTACACACTTTTTCAATTCTTTGCTGATCTACCATGACAACAGATAATAATCATAGGGTTGTTTGGCCAAGTAAAACCTGAAAGCCAGTTCTTGCACTAGAACAAAATCCTATTTTAACCCACCGAGATACCATGATGCCCTGTATCTAACGTTCACCACACTTGAGGTTATACATCTCAAACTATGTGTCTTAAAATGTAAAGCAGACCAAGAATTGCCAGGGCAGGTGTGAGCTCTATCGCCACCTCTCTCGGCTCAGTTTTTGGGAGTTAAGTAGTCATCAGGCAGGGAAGTGACAACCTAGGCTTTTGCTGTCAGTGCACTGCAAGCAACTCTTGATATGCACCCACCAATCAAGTGTACAGAGTTCTGTCTGTCACATGCAGCTTCTCCAGTGACCCTTCCTATGTGTCAGACAGGGCCATAGGCATCCTTGCCACCTTCTCAAGCCCCTTCCCTTTCCGCCCTGAAAAGCCCATTGTGGGATGCTGTTGTGCCACCTAAAGGCTTTTGACCTGGCATCTCACTGCCATGCTGTAGGGTTCAGGGCTGCTTTCCAGCTTTGGAGGAAGGAAATGATCCTGAGGCAAAGGCCTGGTGGCTGCTCTGGGGGCCTGGTGCTGGATTCTACACTCTGCTGCAGGCTAGCAGCAGAGCATAATGCCAGGGCGTATGCCAGCTTCCACGAGTTGTTTAGCCTAACCTACATACGCCTGCACAAAACGGTGCATTTTTGGTACGCTGCCAATGTTTTGTTCTGGGCCGTGGGTATTAATGCCTTGCATACATAACTACTATTTTACTCTCCGATGAAAACAAACCAAGCCAAGGTTATTGTCAGACACCTTTTTCTCATATAGCCACCCAACCCTTATTACAATAACAATAATTATTATTACATACTCCCTTGTTATTATGCACTGGTACAGGTAGCTTTTTTCCCACACATTAGTAGCTTTGCAGAGCTCCCATGAGTCACTTAGGAGTCTTTCTCAATGTCCCAGGACTAATTGTATGTGTTCTCTTGAAAGTTGCAGCTACTTTAAAGTAAGAGGTGCAGATAACACATCTCTTACATCATATGTCTCCATCATTTTAATGTGGCTTGTGTCTGGCTTAGTCACCCACTTGTGCCATGGGCTACACAAACAGAATAAACATGGGCTATGTATCGGGGCAACCCACCCGTAGCCAAATATTAAAATGGAGATGGAGATCTTGGCTTTTTTCCAGTGTGTGCAGACATTTTCACCCCGAGTAAATTGAATGGGCATGAAGCAACTTGTTTGTGGGCATTGGCCATGCCGTGTGTCTACTCAGTAATGGCATTGCACAAATGTGGGTACAGAATGGAGCATCCTGAGAATTACGGCTTTTGTTATTAACGAAAATTTAGAAGGGAGTCTCAAGGATCCTTAAAGCTGCAAAAACAGGTTTCAGTGCATGTGAGCAACACATAGTGAAACATCAGAGATCATGATAGGTGAATTGTCCTCATAGCACATTGAAAGATACCATTAAGCCACTCTCCATCCATTCATTCATTCATTCATGCAGGGAAGAAAATGACTGCACAGACTCTATTAAGCCATAAGCATTTCCTTAATCTGTCTCTCTTAAAATACTGTACCAAGGTTTCATCTTGAGAAGAGGGCATGCATACAATAAATAAATTATGAAGGAGTAGTACAAACCCAAGTTCTATGCATCTGCAAGTAGTTCTCTTTCTAAACAGAGTAAATTTGGTTTAATTTGGACAGGGTTTCATAAGGCTCCTCTCTGATCTCACAGCTTCCTCACTGCCAAATGTCAAAATCCTGCTCCAAATCCTGGAGGCAGTTCTAGACCTAGTAAAATATATATAGTTTGAAAATATTTAAACATTGGCAAAACTGACAAGTTCTTTCACTTGCCTTCTTGGAAATTGCTGCAGCGTTCTTGCTGATGTTTTAAAGAACGCCTCTTGCTGGCAAGGAGATCTAGTGTGGAAAAATTCGGCACAAGCAGGATACAATTTTGTCAGGATGGAATGTCCTATGACACCATAAAGCCACCACTGCATTATAGGTTTATGAATATAGGCTCAAATTTATATCCTGCCTCTTCTCCAAGGAACTCAGTTCAGCATATTTGGAATAATCCTATTTCATCCTCACGACGACTTCATCCTTTTTATAATTTTTGCTCAGTTGTATTTCATGGAGTAATGAGTCATAAAGTGATAAATGCGTGGAAGAGCTCAAAATTACTACCACCATCTTACTGACTTTTCTAACACAACTGCACAGCTTGATTTTACCAGACATTGTTAGCTTGCTTGGAGCTTTGCAGTGAATTTTGGGCCTGAGTATGATAAACTTTCTGGGTTTGGGCAAAGCATTTTCAATGTTGTTTCCAATATTTCTAGTCACCCTCAGAACTCAAACCCAGCTCTGGTTCTTCTGTCACAAAGCACCAATCTAAACCCTCCCTTTATACCAGGGGCCATCAACCTAAGGCCTGGGGGCCGGATACGGCCCAATCGCCTTCTCAGTCCGGCCCATGGACAGTCCGGGAATCAGCATGTTTTTACATGAGTAGATGTGTCCTTTTGTTTAAAATGCATCTCTGGGTTATTTGTGGGGCCTGTCTGGTGTTTTTACATGAGTAGAATGTGTGTTTTTATCTCAAATGCATTTCTGGGTTATTTGTGGGGCATAGGAATTAGTTCATCCCCCCCCCAAAAAAAAATAGTCCGGCCCACCACATGGTCTGAGGGATGGTGGACTGGCCCACGGCTGAAAAAGGTTGCTGACCCCTGCTTTATACATAAAGATATAACTGCCATGTTGCTTGCCACAACCCATTTAGAGATTTCCTTCCACTGGAAAGGCTGAAAAGAACCAGTTCTGACAGGATGGCAAGGGAAAATTTGGGACCTGGCTCTTTCCAAGCATCTACCACAACACACAAGGGCTGTTCAAGGCCAAACAAAACATGCTCATTTTTATACGATATGATTCCCATGACGTAAACAGAAGTGATGTTAATGTAAGACCTTAGGCCACCCTGTCCTGACATTGTTGTGTTGCTTGGAGTTTTCCACTGAGTTTGGGGACCTGAGTGAGAGCCCTTCCACACATAAGCTGTAGAGTAGCCTACAAATAGCTTATAGCCATGTTGGCAACACACCCAAGCAGATGGTCATGCAGCAGTGTGAAGCATGGATGGAGTTGTCATTTTCAGCATCCCTCTGAGTTTCTCATTTTTCAAAACTTAGGTTCAGTTTGCTGTATTTCTGCATCGGTTTGCTATTTTAAAAAGGGTAATCAAAAAAGTTCATCAGCATTGTAGTATATATTTCTCTTAATAAACATATTTTTGCAAACAATTTTGCACAATATAATTCATTTTATTCTTTATTTCCAGTAATATCTGCATTTTTATGCACACTTGCCCTGAATATATGCTTTCTGAAGACTTTTTTGTTGTTGCTGGAGAACTGCATTATGACATCTGGAGAAGCACAAAATGAAAAAGGTACATGCATTTTTAGTTTGTTTATTGTTTCAGGAAGTATGAATTTATCCCCTCAACCTGTCTGCGGCAGAATCATAGTGGGACCTACAAAAGTAGGGGAGTAAGTTCATCGACAACAGCTCTGTGTCCCCTAATCATTCCTCCTCACTCGCCATACTGAGATGATCTCAACACTCTGAAGTGCACTTGTTGAAAAGCAAAAAACAGAAGGTGGCGCTGGAGGAATTGAGCTTGTGCCACACCTTCAATCTGTTTCTTTTTCTAAGATGACCTATTTTATTGTTATTGTGGATTATCAAAAGCACTTACGCAGCCCTGTGAACTTGTGTAGGGCTTGACAAACAGATAAGACAAGCTCCCTGCCCTGAAGTTTTTATGGTTTAAGTAAGAGCAAGACAAACACAAGATAACACATGGGGACAACAACACTGGCAGAGCAGGGTGTAAGGATTATTAGCAGAGAGGGAAAGGGTGTGTTTTGAGGAGAGAACCGGAGAGGGGGCGGCTATGAGATGAAGATATCAGAACTAGTGGCGCAAAGCTCAGCAGTGTCCGGTATGATTTCAAATTGGATGGGAGACTGCATGTTGAGATTCCTGCATTGCAGGGGGTTGGACTACATGAGCCTTGCGGTCCCTTCCAACTCTACAATTCTATGATTTTATGAACTGCAGGAGGCACAGAGCAGGATTCCTCAGAATTGCCCGTCTTATGCTCAATGGAGTGGGTGTAAAAATGCATAAGCACTTCAGAGTTGGGAAAGCACAACATTTTATTTAGTATATAACACTTCATAGAAATCCACAGGTAAAGAAAAAGATAAGCCTTTGCTCCCCAAATTACAGCCTAATTTTGACAGCCAGGAAGACAACTGTGAAAGGTGCATATGACAACGGCAACCAGAAATGTATAGGACCAGTTGCATGTCTTGGGCATGTGAGCCAGGAGGGAGGGATTGGTCTGTATGCATGTCCTTCCCACCTCTCTTCTCAGGCCTAGGTCATACATGATTTTGTGGTCATTCCATCAGCACAGCAGCAGTGTATCCCTGGACCCAGCAAAAAGTAATATCATGAGCTTGGGGTGTTACGTTGAATGCCAAACCCCTCTAATCCCTGGATCCTGCAAGTGTTAAAAACTAATCAAGCCTCCAAATTCCTGGAATAGCCAAGATAGCTTCCTGGTTAGGTGACAGGGGATTAAGGGACTTGATGTGAGATGGCAAATGAGTGGGACACCCCTCCCTCAACAGAAAAAGTCAGAGTTGAAGGCAGAGAGTTGGAGCGATGTGAGCTAGAGGAACAGCAGAAAACAGGAAGATAGGGAGACAGAACAATGTTTGATGTTTGCTTGAATCCAAAGCTGTGGCTATGGGAGAAACAAGACCTTTTGGGGTTGTTAATGCTGTGAACTCCTCCATCACAGGCTTAGGTTGTATATATGTGTAAATAAACCATATTTCATAAAGACGCCAGAGTCTCCACTGTGTCTCATTTCCAAAAGGAAACACAAACCCTGGGTATCCCTGGAATCTCATACTGCTCAGAGATTGGGGTGACATGAACAGTTAGTATAGGATTGCTCAGTAGGAGAATTTAAAAAAAAAGAGGAAGGAAAGAGTACCCTGGCCAACTCTTGATCATTTAATGTGCTATTGTTGTTGGTCATTATACAATAAGACATGGAATGAGGCAGAGGCTTGGATTTGAAGTACAGTGGTACCTTGGGTTACAAACACTTCGGATTACAGACTCTGCTAAACCGGAAGTAGTACCCCGGGTTAAGAACCTTACCTCAGGATGAGAATAGAAATTGTGCGGTGGTGGCACGGCAGCAGTGGGAGGCCCCATTAGCTAAAGTGGTACCTCAAGTTAAGAACGGTTTCAGGTTAAGAACGGACCTCCGGAATGAATTAAGTTTATAACCAGAGTTGCAAATGTAACCCAGAGTACCTAAAGACCTCAAACTGGACCTGCCCCCATGTTCTGAACACCTGAATATGCCAAGTTGCAGAATTCAGCTTGCAGAATTCTACAGGCACTCTCTTGCCTTGCCTTCCACCTGCCTTTCCATCCTTCACACCTTTATTACAAGGGCACATCAGCTTTGTGCAACAACAGCTGCCCCCACAAAGCCAGAACACACAGGCACAAGGAGATTAGAGGGGAGACCTCTATTTTAAAGGAGGGCCCCCCCTTCAGCTAGTGTGATTACCACAACTCATGAGTTTTGCTTTTCCTGTTTTTAAATACCCCGCCATCCTTTCAAGCTTTTGCAGGAGAAGACGTTCACCTACCTGCCTACTTTGGTTGCTGGTCCAAACAACCCTGCAACTATACTCTGATGCAGTTCCACAGGCATTATTCTGGCCCAGCCTTGGGCCACTTTCAGGTGGGCCTCTGTGCCACATCCTGCCCAGTGCCTCATCATTTGACTGCTCCATCCCCATGCTATACAATTTAAGCCTTTTGGTTAGATTGATGCCATTTCTTTAAAAAAAATATGCTGTGCATATACATGTCCCTTTGAAAACAAGAGATGCACACAGTTTCCTCAGAGCAGCAATAGCAACAGCAAAAAAGGATGAATTGATGGCTGGGTTTTTGCCACCATTAGACTTTCTCCTCAAACTGAGGAGGGGTGAAGCAAACTGGCTTGCAAGTTATTGACAGGGTTCCCTCCCAAATGTCTGGTAAGAGAGGTAAAATGAGGAGGGGGGAATCCACTACCAACTGTAAATCTATGGAAAAGAAACGAGTGGTGGAGAACTGTCCTTCAGACAGAATGCATCCGCTCACAGGTGATACAAAAAAAATGCAATTATAAATCCACTTTTCTACATCAGCATCCATCAATGCAAATGTTATTAAAACAGCATTTCTGTCTTTTATGCATACATACCAAAAGTGAGAGAGAAAAACTAAAGTGTGTTTTAAGTGGAACGTGTGAAATAAGTCTTGGGATTTATTAGTTTCTAGTTGGTCCCAGATACAAGACTCTCAAGATGACAGGAAAGATCTAAGCGTCTCCCTTTTGAAATAAAAAGAGCATTCTCTTGGGAACACACATGCCATTGGGAAATACTGATAGATGCAACATGTGCAGTTAGATGTAAGACTGTATTGCAATCCGTTCAGTTCACTGGTTACAGGAGGAGAAGCAGCCTAACTGGTAATTACTGTGGGTTTGGCTTTTGCAGGATGAAGCTAAAATGAAACTGGAAACGTTCTCATAGGTACTTTCCATCAGTGATTTGCTAACTGAAGAAACAGTGTGAGAATTAATGGAGATACATATAGGAAAGACACAGTAGAAGTGGGGTCTGAGGGATCGAATTGTAGAAATTAGTGTGAATTGTTAAAATATTGAGTTAATATCCAAAGAAAACTGGCTTAGGAAGTATTTTGATACAGAAAATGAGAGGCTCTTCTGTGCTATTTGCAAAAGAGAGGATGGTGGAAAGTGTAAGCACTGCAAAACAGACTTCTTTGATGCTACATCAACCTACTTCCTCTTCAGCAGCCAAAGAAGTGGTTATTGGTAAAAACAAGTTGAAAAGTTAGTTCAACATCCTACTCTATAGACACATTACACATTACTTGCATTTATATTTCCAGTGGAAACCTTAACGTGCCATTTACGTTCTGTTTATGTACGGGACAGCATATCAAAATGACACCACTGTATTTTCCAGTTATCTTGAGACTGCCACCACCATAGTGAGTTTCACAATACTGCTATATTACCCCTTGCCCAGGAAATCAAAGTATTCAGCAACCATTACAGTGTTTCACAAAATAAAGGTAAAGGTAAAGGTACCCCTGCCCGTACGGGCCAGACTTGACGGACTCTAGGGTTGTGTGCCCATCTCACTTAAGAGGCCGAGGGCCAGCGCTGTCCGGAGACACTTCCGGTTCACGTGGCCAGCGTGACAAAGCTGCATCTGGCAAGCCAGCGCAGCACACGGAAACGCCGTTTACCTTCCTGCCAGTAAGCGGTCCCTATTTATCTACTTGCACCCGGGGGTGCTTTCAAACTGCTAGGTTGGCAGGCGCTGGGACCGAGCAACGGGAGCGCACCCCGCCGCGGGGATTCGAACCGCCGACCTTTCGATCGGCAAGCCCTAGGCGCTGAGGCTTTTACCCACAGCGCCACCCGCGTCCCTTTTTCACAAAATAACTGAACCCAAAGTGCTTCATGTACATTTGCCTTGATCCAACAGGAAGTGACAGAGGAGACACAAACAGGTGCTGCATGTCATTTCCCCCAGGCTAAGGAGATCAGCTATCTGTTTGAGGTACAAGCAGTCAATCAGATTCACTTCCCTCTTTCCTAGAATGAATGATGCTACTGATGACAATGCGACAGGGGCTGCATATGCATTGCCCAAGTACTTTCATGTCCAGGAAATCTTCATGCACCGCTTATTTGTAAACCTTTTACTTCCTGTTATATTGGGACAAACATCTTTATAATCATCACAACAACCCTGTAAGAGAAGCCAGTGTAATTGTTCACATTTTATGGAGGGGTGGGTGCTGAGATTGAAGGAACTGTGGCTTGCCTAAAGCTGCCTTATGAGTTCACAACTTGGGCGAGATTAGAACAAGGAGTTTCATGCTCCCTGTGCTAAGTCGCTCTGTTACCCCAACCTACATTATGGAATATGGTTGTATGGCCTGGTCTGGAAAAGGGGATCTGTTTTTGTGTGTGGCCTGGTTTTTGGTGACTGTACAGTACTATGCTGTCGGATTGATAGGTTGAGTAATGT